CTTCTGTTAGCTAATCCACAGTGGCGTAAAAACCGCTGGGAGCAACACATTGATACCTTTGATAAGGAGAGCTGAACGTTATGGGGCAAAGAATGGTACCCGAAAAGAAAAAAAAGCGAAGATTCGAGTGACATGAAGACTATGAACTAGGGAGAGCAGCTCAAACGGAATTCTCGGCGTAGCCGAAATGTATAAGTGCATCGCGGTTTCGCGACGTCGATCAGGACAATCTGATGTGTAATTTGATTTATAGGCGAAGCAAAGCTGTTCGCTGCATCTGGATAAGTATCATGATAACATTTCCAGTAGCCATGTCAGTTGCAAAGGAAGGAGGCAAAATCCCTTTTTCTCTGAAGGCGACTGATCCTCTTCCCCTTATTCCAGCTCCCTTTCCCTCGCATGTAGTATGCAAATGTCCAGCCTTGTGGCTCCAGTTCTTCCTTGCTATTTAAAATGATGTAATTAAAAGTGGTAAAATTAGATCAGTAACATCGCCAATTGGCGTGTGACACCAGCGTGATACTACTGTCGGATGAATCTGCTAAGCCTGCCTCGTCCGTCCGGCTGTGTTTTGTTAAACAAAAGTTTAATTCTGGTTCGCCCATTGCGTTCACTGGCTCAGTCCCGTGTAACGTTGCTACGAGAAATAACAATTTAGTTCAAAAAACTGAACCTCAGCGAGAGCTTTCGTAAGGACAGGAGCAACAGTTCTGGCGAGGTAAAGACCATTTTCGGTAGTTGGCAACAGTTCAATTCGCTCTGAAACAAAACGCTCGTAGCTGCTCCGATCGAATTCATCCCGTTCATCCAAATGAGGCGATTCAGATGGCGAACTGAAATAGGCTTTTAAATTGGCTATCTTTGAGGGCATTTTTCTATTTCTTCCATGTGAAGAAACCAACTGAAAGACTTCCCAGTTATGCTACTGACCAAATTTTTACCAGCACATGAGCTGCACGTTTATTTCTGACCGCAACTGATGACCAAGCAAGGACGATTTTTTTTTTCAGTTGCGAATTCACTTTTTACCCAGCGACCTTCTTTTATCACAGAAAGAGCATTTATACGAGTGTTTTACTGACTTTTCGGACAAATTTTTTATATTCCCCCGGCAAAACTTCCACGGTTTGTTTTTGTGTTATCCACAGCAATTTAGCTCGCACGATTTAGTTTTTGATTTTTCCTTCGCTGACACACTTCCACTGCAAAAGCGAAGGCAGCCACCCACTCGGATTCCCCCCGCTTCTCACATTCTCTAAACTCGCCACTGATCGGCGTTACAGAACCATGATGAGTAAACCCACCGATGCATCGCACATTTCGCAGCAAACAACTTTACGCACCTCGCAGCCGAAGTGGAATCACTGCTCTGTAGTGAATCGATTTGTGGTGCCTCATCCTCGAATTCCTCGGGTAAGATTTCACTCTCCTGGTCGTCATCTCTGATCAGTTTCAAATCAATCACTGTGTTTCGACGGTAATAATCCGGAGTGCGGCCTTCCTAAGAGAAAATTTTCACAAAAATAACTGTAAGCGAATCCAAGTCCTAGATTATTTCGATAAACTGTGCTGGAAAATAATAAAACCTACAAATACATAAATATGACCTTATTTTTCGAAATCAAATAAAAAATTCACAAGCATGAACTTGTTTTTCAAAAAAATGTATAAAAATTACATTGTCCACAGCCAGTGGATCAGCTCCGCCTTTGCTCAGAATTTTCACGTAATGTCCGCCATCACGAGTGGCTGCCGCGTAGTGCATCGGTGTACGCTTGTTCTGAAATTTTACTCACTCGTTATAATTTTTGATAATGCAAATAAATTGCGGTGCGCACCAAGGAACCGGCGTAAACATGCGAGTTACAAAACTGTTTTCGCAAACTTCCCAAGTGTCTATGTGTAAGGTATAGGGGACGTGAGGTGCTCGCAAAAGTTCGGTTTTCCAGCTGATCTGGTTGCTGAGCTACGAAATTATCTGCTTGAAGTTCCAGTTGTCGGAAAATGGCGTGTAGAGTAAGTGAACGTACATTTTGTATCTAAAGATCCATTCATGAAGAATTCTAGCTTCATAGCTTTCGTAGATACTTACATAATCGGGAGCATTCAAAACT